GACAGTGTGAACCTTATGTGCGTGTCTGTGTGTGTGTGTGTGTGTGTGTGTGTGTGTGTGTGTGTGTGTGTGTGTGTCTGTGTGTGTGTGTGTGTGTGTGTGCGTGTCTGTGTGTGTGTGTGCGTGTCTGTGTCTGTGTGTATGTGTGTGTGTGTGTGTGTGTGTGTGTGTGTGTGCATATGCGTGTGTATGTGTATGTGTGTGTGTGTCTGTGTGTGTGTGTGTATATGCGTGCGTGTGTGTGTGTATGTGTGTGTGTATGTGTGTGTGTATGTGTGTGCATACGCGTGTGTATGTATGTGTGCCGGGGGGGGATAGACAGGCTATGCGGATGTTAATTTTATGTTAATTTTTAATTGACAAACTGAATGTAGGTTGCCCTGCGTAGAGTAGGGAGACCAAACGTCTGTTTTCCCCCGGACATGTCTGTTTTCCACGTCTTGTTCTGGCTGTGCGGGTTTTTTTTTTTTTTTTATAAAGTCATATAAATGTCCAGGTTTTCATTTCCTTTCATTGGGACATTAAACTGAGCGTCTCTCGTAGCGTCTGTGACTCAGAAGGAGCGAGACACAAACAGAGCCTCAGTCTGTAACGAACTGAAGCACAAATGTGGATTTAACCAGGATTTGGACAAGAAATTCCCGCTTTCCGTCCCGGTCGAGACAAGTGTGAGTCCATGTGCACAGTGTATAAAGCAGCACATATGTGTCGGTGTCCAGTGTGTCAGGGACCTCAAAAAAACATGAAAAAGTTTTTCCAGGTGAGAGTCGCTCAATGTGGATGACGAGGCCCCGCCCCCCTCCCCCCGTACGCTGTCCTGGTTTTGACAAACACAAATCTGGTCACACTGACCTGTATTCACCTGAGTCATGTCTTTTAATCCAACACAAGTTGAACCACATCAGCGACACAAGAGCTGGAGTTTTATCTTCACTTAGTTTATGTAAATTAGTGATGTGGTTTTAAGTTTTGTTTCTGTGAGATTTGAACAAAACTGAATTAAACACATTATTATGTCAAACATGGGCTGATGTGGATCTAGACCAGGAGAGTCAAACTCATTTTGTTCCGGGGGTCGTGTCCAACCGACTTTGATCCTAAAGTGTCCGGATCAGAAAACTCATGTCATATAAACCCCAAAAATAACAATAAGTTCAAATATTTGTGCAGAGAAACACAAATCTATTACAGAAATCTTTTTTAATTGATGAACTCTTTCTTTTACAAAATATTATAATATTATGAACAACCTGAAACTTTAAGAAAATTTCAATTTCAACACAAAGTTTTAACATGAACTTGTCTGTAAACAGGAATAAGTCCATTTTTGTTGTAAAATCCTGCACTCGGCTCCACTTTTCTCATGTTGGACATTTTTCTGATGAGGGTGTCACGGTCAACAGTCAAAACGATCGTCCTTTAAGAGCGTTTGGAAAGAGACAAGTCTTCATTTGTGCTGCTCTGGTGGGAGGGGCCACGTACAGAGACGCTGGAGACGCTGCTGTGATAAACACCACAGAAAATTAACACCATTTTAATACAAAATATAATTAAAATATTAGTAGAAAATCAGACGAGGGCCAGATTAAAGGTCTTAGGTTAAAGGGTCGTATGTTTGACACCCCTGATTTAGACGGTGACGGTGTTTTTGGGGTTTAAAAACTAAAAATCTGAAACCACCTCCAGAGTGTAAAAGTTGAACACGCTTCACCGTTGTGTTTCCGTCCCAAGACACAAAACTCTGGTCAGATGTGCTCAGGTCGTGTACGAGTTCACATCACGAGCGTCTCCGCCGAGCGTCACCGCCGAGCGTCACCGCCGAGCCGCCTGGCGTGAGGACACAGTCCAATTCCACACACTTTTGCGTCACCGTATGCAACAGATTTCCTCCCGAAAACGCTCGTCTAAATGCGGAAAAAAAATTGAAGACATGATGCCACTTTTGCATCTTTTGTTCAGACCCTCATCGTATAAACATAGACTAAGACTTGACTTGATAAAATGGAGTAAGACTTGGGACTCAACTTGAACTTTTGAAGGATTTGGGACTTGACTCGGACTTGAGGCCTGTTGCTTGAGCACTTGAAGTATTTTTAAATCTGAATTTGTTTTATTCTGACTGTAATGATTCACTCTAACATCTGGTCAGGACATTTAAAAAGGTAAACAGCTCTTACATGCTCTATAAATACTCATTTTTAAATAAACTATGACTTTATGAGTACAATTTAGTTTAAAAATCATATAAATTGCAAAAATCTAAGATATATTTTTGGTATTTTGGTTTAAAGACTTGAAATGACTTGAAGTTCAAAGCAGACGACTTGGACTTGACTTACACGACACCGTAACAAAAAAAAAAAATCATTTGAATAATCGTGATTTCAATCTTAAAGGTTGTATAGAGGATTTTTTTAAAGGGAAGAAGAGAAATACAGCGACAGTCCTTGTGCGCGTTCAGAATTACTGTTGAAGTTTCCTGTCTAGAAGTAATTCAGCGACCGACGCGTCAGTTTTTAGACGCTTCGTCTGCTTCGGTCGCGCCATCGCTGGACGAGATCTCCAAGAATCACCTCAGTTTGGCTTTGCTCCTTTTCCTCTTCTCTTCTTCTTTCAGCGACCTCAAAAACGGACTTTGTTTTGCGGCGAACCGGTCGTGGATTTTCGTCCGCCGTCGCGACAAACTTGTGCGAAATGCGAGTCCGTTACACTAGGGAGTTTGATTGACAACCTAACAGCCAATAGAAAATGAGGGAGCCTCGTTTTCTATTGGCTGATGTTTATCTGGCCTCAACACCTCCACAGTTGATAGATTTTTGTTCTTTTTTTTTTTGGTCATCATAATTACAAAGCTGCTGCGTCTCTGTAACGGTTTTTAATCTTTCACTGACAATTTGAAACTAAAAAAAAAAATCCTCCATACAACCTTTAACCAAACTAATCGTAATAATGATTTTCCATAACGGAGCAGCTCTCCTCTCCTCTCTGCTGCCGTGAGCCTCGTCATTTTTTTGGTCTTAAAACGTTGGTTCAAACCCGCGACACATGATCCATCTTCGGGTTTTTATTTTGATATTTTTGTGGCTGTGAATTCTCCGTAGCCGTCGTCCTCGTGAGCTTCGTTTGAGCTGATCTGAGCGCTGCGGGCGACGTCTCTCTCTCCCTCTGAACACGTCTTTACACACACACACACACACACACTTTCTCTTCGGTGTTTTGGCTGCAGACGGAGGATTCCATTTTCCTCTCTTAAGTGTGCGCGGATCTGCCTAAACACCCGGAACAAAAGCCAGGACAGAAACTCCTGAGCCCGACCCCCTCACGATCCGACTGTGAACACAAAACAAAAAGAGAAATGGTGTGTTTTGAGCTTGTCGGGGCTGGAGCTGCCGTCACAGAGGCCGACTGAGCTCAAGTGCTCAAGGCCGAGTGTCAGAGTCTGAATAAGACTCAATACACGGGGCTTTGTTCCGCTCCAGTCAAACAATGACACATGTACAACTACTGAGCTGTTAAAAGTATTAAACCAGACACTAAGTGATATTAAAACTATTACTGCAACTAAAAAAGTCACGTGAACCTTTCCTGAATGTGTTTAGAACCTCGAGCTGCGTCAGAACAAGTAGAAGAGCACACGGACGAGTATACGCCCCTGGACCTGGTTTAGACCTGGTTTGGACCTGGTTTGGACCTGGTTTGGACCTGGTTTAGACCTGGTTTGGACCTGGTTTAGACTGGTTTGGACCTGGTTTGGACTTGGTTTAGACCTGGTTTTGTTTAGACCTGGTTTTAGACCTGGTTTAGACCTGGTTTGGACCTGGTTTGGAGTTTAGACCTGGTTTGACCTGGTTTGGACCTGGTTTGGACCTGGTTTGGACTGGTTTAGACTGGTTTGGACCTGGTTTAGACCTGGTTTTGGACCTGGTTTGGACTTTGTTTTAGACCTGGTTTTGGACCTGGTTTAGAACCTGGTTTGGACCTGGTTTAGACCTGGTTTAGACTTGGTTTAGACCTGGTTTGGACTTGGTTTTTGGACCTGGTTTGGACCTGGTTTGGACCTGGTTTAGAACTCGTTTAGACCTGGTTTAGAACTCGTTTAGACCTGGTTTGGACCTGGTTTGGACTTGTTTTTTTTAGACCTGGTTTGACCTGGTTTGGACCTGGTTTGGACCTGGTTTAGACCTGGTTTGGACCTGGACCTGGTTTGGACCTGGTTTGGACCTGGTTTTGGACCTGGTTTGGACCTGGTTTGGACCTGGTTTGGACCTGGACCTTTTTGGACCTGGTTTGGACCTGGTTTGGACCTGGTTTGGACCTGGTTTAGACCTGGTTTGAGACCTGGTTTAGACCTGGTTTGGACCTGGTTTGGAGACCTGGTTTACCTGGTTTAGACCTGGTTTGGACCTGGTTTAGTCCTGGACCACTATGGAACCTAACTGGACCACTTTAATTACACACTTAAAGATAAGTTGAGTTCAAAGTTCCGTACTGTACAGTGGAACATCTCCGTGGAGAGAATAGGTTTTTTATTAATTAAGTTGCCGAGTGTGAAAGTGGGCGTGGCAGAGAAACACCTGCTCAGACTCACCTGCAGGGGGCGTGGCAGAGAAACACCTGCCCAGACTCACCTGCAGGGGGCGTGGCAGAGAAACACCTGCCCAGACTCACCTGCAGGGGGCGTGGCAGAGAAACACCTGCCCAGACTCACCTGCAGGGGGCGTGGCAGAGAAACACCTGCCCAGACTCACCTGCAGGGGGCGTGGCAGAGAAACACCTGCCCAGACTCACCTGCAGGGGGCGTGGCTGAGCTGCTGTGTCAGACTCACCTACAGTTAGAACATTTTAGAGATGCATGCAATTTGACGCCAGAGCATAAATTGGGCTTCAGGGGTCACTGATGGAAATGTCTTCAGATGCAGTAAAAATGTTTGGCTCCTGATCGTTGGGTTGGTTCAGTCGTGTCACTGAGAGACTCATGTGAGTCACTCTGAGGCTGCGTTCACACTGCACCTGAAGTGACCCAAATCCGATTTTTTGTCTCAATGTTCCTGTAGCTGATCTTTTAATGTCAGTCTGAACCACACAGATCTGATTTTTTCAAATGTGACCCAGGACACTTGGATATGTGCTCCTGAAACTGATACATATCTGATCTTTTGACATTTGACTTCAGTCTGAACGGCCAAAGTGCATTCATCCACCTACACGTTATCAACAAGACACAAACGTCACTATTCTGCGCTGAAGTAGGAGAAAACTGTTCATGATCCATGTGACTGAAGTGAAGCACATCTCCACTCACCACAAAACACCACGACCAAAAACCTCGTCCTTCTCCTTCTCAATCTCCTCCTTAAAACAAGTCAGTTGTTCATGTTCTGGCTCCGGTACGAGAGGAACTTTAAAATCTCCAGGTGCTCGATGCTGCGTCCATGTTTGGACAACTTCTGTAAACACAGAGACGCTCGCTGCGGTTGACGTCGTCGTGTCTCCAGTGTCACATGTGGGACACTTTTGGGCCGTTTAATGTTCACACTGGAGTCACATACAAGTCACATTTAACTGGAAATGTGAACGACCTCGAAAAAACATCGGATTTCACAAAAAAATTGGAATTGAGCGTTAAACCCTGCAGTCTGAACGGAGCCTGAGACTCTCTGGGGTGAGAGATGATTTGGCTCCACCTGCGTTTCTTTGGTGAACTGTAGTGACCAAAACTTTACGTGTGTCTCTGTTTTAAAGTCTGTTGGAATAATGAAACGTCTTTGTGTTTTCAGCCAATCACCTGCAGTGCAGCCCCAGCCGGAGCGAGTCTGGGTGAGTACTGGACCTGTGCCACTGCAGCGCCTCCTCCTGCCTGTCGTGTGTGGGGTGATGTGTGTCTCATGTGTGTGTGTGTGTCGTGTGTGTGTGTCTGTGTGTGTGTGTGTGTGTGTGTGTGTGTGTGTGTGTGTGTCATGTGTGTGTGTGTCATGTGTGTGTGTGTGTGTGTGTGTGTGTGTCATGTGTGTGTGTGTGTGTGTGTGTGTGTGTCATGTGTGTGTGTGTGTCATGTGTGTGTGTGTGTGTGTGTCATGTGTGTGTGTCATGTGTGTGTGTCATGTGTGTGTGTGTGTCATGTGTGTGTGTGTGTGTGTGTGTCATGTGTGTGTGTGTGTGTGTGTCATGTGTGTGTGTGTGTGTTGTGTGTTGCAGGTTCGGTCTGGCGGCGGATCAGAAGAGGTCACAGTTCAAGGAACGCGCTCGCAGCATGAACTCCACCGGCTCCGGGAAGAGCAGCACCGTGTCCAGGTGAGCGTTTCCACGGCAACAGACCAGGAAGTGTTTCATTTTATAAATATCCCAGTGTGTTTATTTTTAGACACAAAAGAGGGAAGATCTGCAAACGATAAACACGTAAACAAAAATACATTTGAATAAATGTAAATGGATCTGATTGTGTTTTCCATTTGTTTGTGGGAAATATTTACCATGATCAGAATGACGTGTGCGTGTGTGTGTGTGTGTGTGTGTGTGTGTGTGTGTGTGTGTGTGTGCATGTGTGTGTGTGTGTGTGTGTGTGCGTGTGTGTGTGTGTGTGTGTGTGTGTCTGTGCATGTGTGTGTGTGTGTGGAGGCTCAGTGTTCTGCTGCTGCGGCAGTGATGATGATGAGGAGGAGGAGGAGGGGAGAGAGAGTGCGTCTGTTCCTCCTCTGGTATGAAATGAGCCGGGAGCTGATTGGTGGAGAGTCTGAATCTGTGTGTCATTCGTTCATTCGTTTTTCAATATAAAACCAAAAATAAGAAAACGAAAAAACAACAGTTTTCTTCATTATTTGTCTCCAAAACCAAAATTAAAAAACAGATAATGATTTGTTTTTTTCAGTTTTCGATTTTGTGTTTAATTGAAGAATGGAAAAAACGGATAACGGCCGTTTCCCGTTTACGTGACTTCTGTGACTGCGATGCCGAACTTTTGCACCGTGTACGAACTGAACCAGGACCAGGACCAGAGTGGAACCAGTGTGGATTCCGAGCTTTGACTCTGAGGCCTGAGCTTCGAGCTCCGGCCCTGCTGTGGGCTCTGAGCCTCTGGTCTGGTCCCGGTCTGGTCCCGGTCTGGTCCATTTGAACCAAAAGCTCTTAGTTTGGTTTGTTTTCATTGGTGTGAAAGCGTCAGTCGGACGCTTTGCTCCACCTCGGATCCAGTCGTGGTTCTTGAGTGTGGAGGACCGGAGCAGCCCGTCCAGACCTGTAGTCCACAGAACATTCTCACTTTCCCTGCACGGAACCAGCGCACAAATGATGACACAGAACCACTCGGACCACTGGTCCCGGTCTGGTCTTGGACCTGGATCAGTCCTGGTTCAGTCCGTATGCTTTGCAAAAGTTCGGCATCACAGTCACTGAAGTCACGTAAATGGGAAACGGCCGTTATCCGTTTTTTCCATTTTTTCATTTAAACACAAAATCGAAAACTGAAAAAACGAATCATTATCTGTTTTTTAATTTTGGTTTTGGAGACAAATAACGAAGAAAACTGTTGTTTTTTCATTTTCTTACTTTTGGTTTTATATTGAAAAACGAATCAACGAATGACACACAGATTAAGTCTGGGTTAGTGGGCTGTGATTGGCCGACAGGGACAGAAAAGGTGAAAAGAGGGAGGAGTCAGGATCTTTAAAGTCTCCATGTGACGCTGTTTTCTGACCTGTTATAATGTTGTAACAAACCTGGAGCAGAACTAAACTTAAACTTGGGCTTTAGGCTTTGACACTTCCAAAATCATGTCTGAAATCAAGATTTTTGATCCAGAACGATAGATCGTTCAGCCCTAGTTTTTAAACTCCACTGCACCTTCACTAGAATCATTTGGATCATTTCAGCTTTGGAATTTTCAATCTCTACTGAACTAAAAGTAAAAGGAGCTGTTCACTTGAAAACTAAGACTTCATGACATCACAAGGAGGAACAGAGCATTTTAAGCTTTGGCAGATGTAAACAGATTAAAAATGCAGAGTTACTGAAACATGTGAATGAAACAAAACACAAGTCCAGCTCTGTTTTTGACGAGGAAACGACATTAGAACCTGACTTAAAGCTCTCAGATTCAGTTTTGTGTGATATCAGACGTTGAAATGTTCCACCTCCAGGATGTGGTCTGTTTCTGATGGTTGGCAAATAAAGTGTAAACAAATATTAATGACAGCGGCGACGGTGTAAGTGGATGATCCTAATGCTGAGGTTCGCACGAATTATCCGCAGTTAAAGTCCCTCAAACATCCGCCTCGACGGCCCAGTGTGTGTCGTGTGTCAACAGGAACATCCAGACACGGAAAACAAACGCAGCAGACGTGAAGCTCTTTCTGTTTAAAACCAGACTTTTTATGAGACGTCTAATCATTTTATTGAAATCATAAAACTAAGGTCGAAGACAAACCCTCGTTTACTTTGAAGGGCACTTAACATATCACACGATTTTCTGAGCTACTGTGTGTTCTCATGTCACTTCCTCGTCACACACAGACCTTTCGTTCACACGTTTAACACACAAACCTGCACATTTAAACTCCACACACCTGAACTAGAAACATCTGGGTAATTTCAGCTCTGCATTTGTCCATCTCTACTGAATTCAGATGAACAGTTTATAAAAAATAATCTTACTGTACTCATTTCATATTTAATGTTTGCTGCAGAATAAAGTACAGCATGTTCTGTTCCGTATCCTGTTTTATGGTACAAGCTCCAATAAATTCCAGAAGATTACCAGAGTAAAAGTATCCGCTAAAGATAATATTTTTAATAAAAGGACAATACAAAAGTTTTGGTTAGACTCAGATCCTCAAATGCTCAGAAACTCCCTCCTAGATGCATGTAGACTCAGAAACTCTCTGCTAGACGATTGTAGACTCAGAAACTATAAACTCTCTCCTAGACGCTTGTAGACTCAGAAACTCCCTCCTAGACGCTTGTAGACTCAGAAACTCTCTCCTAGACTTGTAGATTCAGAAACTCCTCTTGTAGACTCCTCTAGACGCTTGTAGAACTCCCTCCTAGACGCTTGTAGATTAAGAAACTCCCTCCTAGACGCTTGTAGATTAAGAAACTCCCTCCTAGACGCTTGTAGATTAAGAAACTCCCTCCTAGACGCTTGTAGATTAAGAAACTCCCTCCTAGACGCTTGTAGATTAAGAAAACTCCTCCTAGATTAAGAAACTCCCTCCTAGACGCTTGTAGATTCAGAAACTCCCTCCTAGACGCTTGTAGATTCAGAAACTCCCTCCTAGACGCTTGTAGATTCAGAAACTCCCTCCTAGACGCTTGTAGATTCAGAAACTCCCTCCTAGACGCTTGTAGATTAAGAAACTCCCTCCTAGACGCTTGTAGATTCAGAAACTCCCTCCTAGACGCTTGTAGATTCAGAAACTCCCTCCTAGACGCTTGTAGATTAAGAAACTCCCTCCTAGACGCTTGTGATTAAGAAACTCCCTCCTAGACGCTGTAGACAGAACTCCCTCCTAGACGCTAGATTCAGAAACTCCCTCCTAGACGCTTGTAGATTAGAAACTCCCTCCTAGACGCTTGTAGATCAGAAACTCTCTCTAGACGCTAGAAACTCTACGCTTGTAGATTCAGAAACTCCCTCCTAGACGCTTGTAGATTAAGAAACTCCCTCCTAGACGCTTGTAGATTAAGAAACTCCCTCCTAGACGCTTGTAGATTAAGAAACTCCCTCCTAGACGCTTGTAGATTAAGAAACTCCCTCCTAGACGCTTGTAGATTCAGAAACTCCCTCCTAGACGCTTGTAGATTCAGAAACTCCCTCCTAGACGCTTGTAGATTAAGAAACTCCCTCCTAGACGCTTGTAGATTAAGAAACTCCCTCCTAGACGCTTGTAGATTAAGAAACTCCCTCCTAGACGCTTGTAGATTAAGAAACTCCCTCCTAGACGCTTGTAGACTCAGAAACTCCCTCCTAGACGCTTGTAGATTAAGAAACTCCCTCCTAGACGCTTGTAGATTCAGAAACTCTCTCCTAGACGCTTGTAGATTCAGAAACTCCTCCTAGACGCTTGTAGATTAAGAAACTCCCTCCTAGACGCTTGTAGATTCAGAAACTCCCTCCTAGACGCTTGTAGATTAAGAAACTCCCTCCTAGACGCTTGTAGATTCAGAAACTCCCTCCTAGACGCTTGTAGATTAGAAACTCCCTCCTAGACGCTTGTAGATTCAGAAACTCTCTCCTAGACGCTTGTAGATTCAGAAACTCTCTCCTAGACGCTTGTAGATTCAGAAACTCTTTGCTAGACGCTTGTAGACTCAGAAACTCTCTTCTAGACGTTTGTACATTCAGAAACTCTCTCCTAGACGCTTGTAGACTCAGAAACTCTCTCCTAGACGCTTGTAGACTCTCAGATGTTTTTTGTGTGTCACCCTTGTGCTGTAACATCATTAAAGGTTCTGTAGAATCATCTCTTTGCCTTTGCGCCTGTTTATTTTTGCAAGATACAACAAAAATCAACAAGCTCCTTTTACCTTTTAAACTAGAGCTTCATGACATCACGAGGTGGAGTAGAGCATTTTGAGCTTTGGAGATGTAGACAGACATGCACATACAGACACTTACACTTCCATAAAAGAACAGAAGCCGTTGTTATTGTCTCCTCACCCCTTCAAACCTCGATGTATTCACTCCCTGTTCCCTCAAGTCAAAATATCTAAAGTCTTTTACTGTTTGTGTCTCTAATATCACAAACAAAATAAAAGATCTCTATGTAACGATAACGTGTTTGTGTGTGTGTTTTCAGTGTGTCAGAGCTCTTGGACCTGTACGAGGAGGACCCGGAGGAGATCCTCATGAACCTGGGCTTTGGGCGAGAAGAACCAGACCTGGCGTCCAAAGTTCCCTCACGCTTCTTCAACGGCACCTCCTACGCCCGCGGCATCGACTTCAAGGTACCAGCTCCTCCTCCGCACTGAGCACTGAGGCCGTCTTTTTAATCCGTCACACTGTGGTCCAAAGAAGGAAAAATGATCTGACCAAGGCTTTTGATGAAACTTTAAAATAATTTCTCTGGATGTGATAAACGCCGCATCCAGAATACTGTCATAACCGGGATAAGGCTCAGACTCGGCAAAAGGCTCGCAGAACCGGGATAAGACTCATTCTTAACCGGGATAAGACTCATTCTTAACCGGGATAAGACTCGGGATAAGACTCGGGAAAAGAGATATTTTGCTATATCTCGATATACGATATATATCTCAATATATGTTCAAGAAAAAACTAACCCCCTAAAACTGAAAACTGCAAAAACAAATGTGCCAAATTTCACAAGGTCCTTTTTTTTTAGATTGAAGTGTAAGAAGTCGGCAGTTCATACAGGAACATTTAAGATTACAAAAAACCCTAATTACATAAATAATAATTTAACTGTAAAATAAAAGAAATAAAACATATTTCCTTCTTTTCATTCATAAATAAAACAACTCAACACAAGCTCATCTTTGCATTAACTCTGTTCTCCAGACCAGAACCATAAGTAAATGAGACACGAGTGAACAAACTCAGGGAGGCGTGGGTGACTAGAGAGAAGGTAAACAAGCAAAGCTGCGAAATCAAAATTTAATATAAGTATTATATCGATATATACAATATGTCAGAATTCATATCGAGTTTAAAAACTATCTCGAAATATTTAAAATATCGATATATCGCCCACCTCTACTAGGGATAAAACTCGGAATAACCGGGATAAGACTTAGGATAAGACTCTCATAACTGGATTAAAGCTCAGACTCGGGCTGAGACTCATAAACGTGATACTGATGTAAACTCTCAGTCTTCCTTCCAAACACAACAGTTCCAACAGTAAAAATCGCTCTGCTTCACTCTCGCGTGTCACCAGGTGTTTCTGATAATCACATTTCTGTGGTTCTGTAAACGCAGCAGAAGTCAGATTTCATTAGTGGTTATCAGATTACCGTCACCTCGTTTGTATCGACGGTGTAAAGTGGAGTGTTTTGTGCGTCCGTGTGTGGTATTGACTCGTGTGTTGTGTGTCGCAGGTGTTTCTGGGAGCGCAGCTGCAGAGGCTGGAGCTGGAAAACCCAAACTACGCCCTGACCAGTGAGTGTCGCCCCCTGTCTGCAGGACGCTTCCAGTACAGCCACACGTACACGAAAACTTTACTCATCCACAAGGGAAATGATTTAAACACAGCAGCTCAAACATCATAAAGTAATATTAAAAAAAAGAGAAAAAATATTTATAATTTATTTTTATTTTTTTATAAGAAGCAAAAATATTAAGAGACAAAATATAAAAAATTTAAATAAAGTATAATGATATAAATGTACATGTACAGGAAAAAAATATATAGAGGCCATTAGTTATTTGTACAGTTGTAGGGAGTATTATCTGTTCCATAAGGATGAGTTGTACAGTTGTAGGGAGTATTATCTGTTACATAAGGGTGAGTTGTTGTACAGTTGTAGGGAGTATTATTTGTTACATAAGGGTCAGTTGCTGTACAGTTGTAGGGAGTATTATCTGAGTTGTTGTACAGGTGTAGGGAGTATTATCTGTTACATAAGGGTGAGTTGTTGTGCAGTTGTAGGGAGTATTATCTGTTACATAAGGCTGAGTTGTTGTGCAGTTGTAGGGAGTATTATCTGTTTCCGTAAGGATGAGTTGTACAGTTGTAGGGAGTATTATCTGTTACATAAGGATGAGTTGTTGTACAGTTGTAGGGAGTATTATCTGTTACATAAGCGTGAGTTGTACAGTTGTAGGGAGTATTATCTGTTCCGTAAGGATGAGTTGTACAGTTGTAGGGAGTATTATCTGTTACATAAGCATGAGTTGTACAGTTGTAGGGAGTATTATCTGTTACATGAGGGTGAGTTGTACAGTTGTAGGGAGTATTATCTGTTCCGTAAGGATGAGTTGTACAGTTGTAGGGAGTATTATCTGTTACATAAGCGTGAGTTGTACAGTTGTAGGGAGTATTATCTGTTACATAAGGGTGAGTTGCTGTACAGTTGTAGGGAGTATTATCTCTTATATAAGGCTGAGTTGTTGTACAGTTGTAGGGAGTATTATTTGTTACATAAGGGTCAGTTGCCGTACAGTTGTAGGGAGTATTATCTGAGTTGTTGTACAGGTGTAGGGAGTATTATCTGTTACATAAGGGCGAGTTGTTGTACAGTTGTAGGGAGTATTATCTGTTACATAAGGGCGAGTTGTTGTACAGTCGTAGGGAGTATTATCTGTTACATAAGGGCGAGTTGTTGTACAGTCGTAGGGAGTATTATCTGTTACATAAGGGCGAGTTGTTGTACAGTCGTAGGGAGTATTATCTGTTACATAAGGGCGAGTTGTTGTACAGTCGTAGGGAGTATTATCTGTTACATAAGGGCGAGTTGTTGTACAGTCGTAGGGAGTATTATCTGTCATCAGTTACTCTAGGTTAGTGTTGTGAATGTGTATTTTCTTTCATGTGTGTTTATGTCAGAGTAAAAACCTGGAGCAGGTGGGACGAGTGAAGACAGTGGGCACAGGGACAGCGGGCACAGACAGGGGCAAAGACTATGGGCACAAACGGGGACAGGGGCAAAGACTATGGGCACAAACGGGGACAGAGGCAAAGACTATGGGCACAAACGGGGACAGGGGCAGTGAGCATAAGCACGGGCAGCGACAGGGACGGGGGGCACAGATTGGGGACGGTCTGACTCGGGGGAGGGGGGACAGTCGGGGTCTCGGGGTTCATTCGTGCGGTCACTGCGTCTCCATGGCAACGGGGACAAAGCCGAGTCTGTGGTCAGGACCCGGAGAGTGTGTGTTTGTGTGTTTGTGTGTGTGTGTGTGTGTGTGTGTCACCAAAACGTTTGATGGTTTTGTCATCACACCCCAATATCTCTGCAATTTCAAGAGTGACTTATTAAAATTTTTGACTTTTCAGAGCTAAATCTATTTTTTTTGTCCCATTTTTACGGAAGCCGAGAGGGGTCGCAACAAACACAAACGCCGCAACAAATACAAATGCGACAACACAACAAAAAAAGCCACAACAGAAATGACCGCGGGACTCTATTTTAACGCAAACGCCGCAACAAATACAAACACCACAACACAAACGCAAATGCCACAATGCATTAAAAAGCCACAACACATTAAAATGCCACAACACATTAAAATGCCACAACACATTAAAATGCCACAACACATTAAAAAGCCACAACACAAACACAAATGCCGCAACACAAATGCAAATGCCGCAACACATTAAAATGCCACAACACATTAAAATGCCACAACACATTAAAAAGCCACAACACATCAAAAAGCCACAACGGAAGTGACCGCGGGACTCTATTTTCCGACGGAACCAATCAATTTGCGGCTTTTTAAGTGTTGCGGCATTGTGTTGCTTTTTAATGTGTTGCGGCTTTTTAATTAATGTGTTGCGGCTTTTTAATTTTAATGTGTTGTGGCTTTTTAATGTGTTGCGGCTTTTTTAATGTGTTGCTGTTGCGGCTTTTTAAAGTGTTGTGGCATTTGCGTTTGTGTTGTGGCGTTTATTTGTTGCGGCGTTTGCATTAAAATACTCCCGCGGTCATTTCCGTTGTGGCTTTTTTTTTTTGGTTGTGGCTTTTTGTTGTGTTGTCGCATTTGTATTTTGCCTGAGGAACTGAAATTGCCTAACAGTTACTCACACCTTGATTCAGGGGTTTTGATTTTTTTTAGGCCACGCCCTCCCTCGCCAGACAAATACACCTCACCTGACCTGTTTTAATCCAATGAGAATTCAAGTTTATGAACGATATAAACGATAAAACAACACAGTTTTATAGCGACAGGAATAAGATCAGACTTTTTAATGATGCTGTCTATGTAAATATGAGTTCACTGGGATTATCCTGTTTTATTTTAATTGTGTCAGTGGGATAAAGTGTTTTCAGTCCTTCATATCGTTTATTATCATCGTGAGTGTCCTACTTTCTCTGACTGTGGCTCAGGACGCTGCACTTTCACAGACAGGATGTGGATGTGAGCAGGACCAGGACTCACTGACACCTGTTTGTTCTGTTCTTCCTCCGGAGTCTGTCCTGGAGTCTCTGTCCCCGGAGTTTGTCACCGGAGTGTGTCCCGTCCCGGAGCTGCTCGGGAACAGAGCGGGAGTCAGAGCAGGGAAAAAAAAAAAAAAAAAAAAAAAAGAGAGAGACACAGACCCCCACAGCGTTCACACAGAGCGAGGGTTTACCGCGACTACAACTGCATTTATAACACACTTTCAAAACTAAAATTAAAACAATAAAACAACTTGTGATTAAAAACAAAATCTAAGAAAAACTATCTAAATCTGAATAAAATGTCAACATCTCAAACTGTGCGAAAGAAGAAAGAAAGATCCGCACTGCAGTTCTTTGAAGATCCCAAATTTTTATTTCAATGACGCCAGGATGTGAAGTTCTGCAGCTCCAGGAGTTTGGGCCCTGACAGATTCTCCCACAGAGGCACAAAGCATTTTGGGAATTCAGCCTGCCCATGTTCTTCAGGGCGTCCGGCTTCACAAAGGTCTTATTTTGTAGGATTCTTTTCCATTTTCACAACATAAACTTTTGAACATTTTTAAATCCTCGTGGCTCCAAAAGTGATTTTTGTCAGACTGAGCATCGTGGCTCTGAGCAGCTCTCGCTCTGATTGGTCCAAACTCTCCAGGTTGTGCAAGTTACAGTCGTCACACGGTGGGAGGAGTTCACCCGGACTGAGGAAAGTAAATGCGGATGAGAAAATGATTTTTGGGCCCATGAGCCGATGAACACAGAGAACTGAAAACAACACAACGTATCTTGGGTTCAGCAGAGATTTGATTAGAGTTCTGTGGTGGGGCTCAGCGCGGCGAGGCCAAGTCTGACAAAGACACTTTTAGACGCTTTCACTGTTTAAAAATTGGTGAGGAGAAAATTTAGTTTGTCAACTGGACAAAAGTTAGTTTGGTTGAAGACGTTTCTCAGCTCATCCAAGCTGCTTCTTCAGTTCTGGTCAGACGCTGGTGACACTTCCTTATATCTGCAGGGAGGAGCTAACTACACTGAAACTACTCTGAAACTAACACACACTTGTTTACAGTTTGTGTTTGTTAGTTCGGCCTGTTGACCTGTGCAGGGTTTTGGGTCTAATTAACAGAACAGTTCATGTCCATAATGGAGCTTCCACACCTCTGGACCTGACCTGACTCCACCTGTTGTTCTTGTTTGTTTTGTTTTAGGTTTGAGGATGGACGTGTAAATAGGAGACAGATGGAGTCTGAGTCCATTTCTGTTTAGAGACGGATTCTCTTTCTTAACAAAAATGGCTTCTTTCACTCTCCTCTCAAACCAATTCTTTCCTCTGGCTAAAATCTGTACGTCTCTGTCCTCAAACGAGTGACCCGTGGCTTTTAGGTGGAGATGAACAGCAGACTGAGGTCCTGTGTTGTTCTCTCGTCTGTGTTGGTTCATCTTCTTGTGAAGTGCAGCGTTCACTTCAGTCTTCACTGCACTGAATGTAGTAGAACACATTGCTTTGTTTGTGGCTTGGTGTTTTGTCCTTTGGGTGTTTAAAAATGATTAAAAGATGGTAAAAATACAGAAGAATCCAACAAAAGAATTCTACTCCTGCAGTACCTGGAGCGGCCACTAGTCGGTCTCACACTTCTCCAGTTCTTCTTACAGACCGTTGTTTTTTAGGCGGCGGAGTTTAAACGTCGTCGACTCTCGTTCTTCGCCTCATGTCGCTTTGTGTTTTTCAGGTCGTTTCCGTCAGATCGAGGTTCTGACGAGCGTCGCCAACGAGTTCTTCCAACTCTACAGCCAAGTGTCCGGACAACCCCTGCACCGCATCGCCCCCAGAGAACCAGGTCACACACCGAGTCACACACCGAGTCACACACCGAGTCACACACGTCACACACAGTCACACACCGGGTCTCACACACCGGGTCACACACACCGGGTCTCACACGTCGGGTCACGCACCAGGTCACACACACAGGTCACACACGGGTCACACACGGGTCACACACACCGGGTCACACACACACACCGGGTCTCACACCACACACACACACACATACCAGGTCACACACCGAGTCACACACGGGTCACACACACGGGTCACACACACCGGGTCTCACACGTCGGGTCACGCACCAGGTCACACACACCAGGTCACAGTCACACACGGGTCACACACACGGGTCACACACACACACCGGGTCTCACACACACACCGGTCACACACACACACCGGTCTCACACACACACACACACACACACCAGGTCACTCACACACACACGCAGGTCACACATGGGTCACACACCAGGTCACACGCACACACCGGGTCTCACACACACACACACACACCGGGTCACACACACACCAGGTCACTCACACACACACGCTGGGTCACACATGAGTCACACACCAGGTCACACGCACACACCGGGTCTCACACACACACACACACACACACACACACACCGGTCACACACACACGGTCACTCACACACACCAGGTCACACACACACAGTCACACACCAGGTCACACACACGCACCAGGTCACACACACGCACCAGGTCACACACACACACCGGGTCTCACACACACACACCAGGTCACTCACACACACACGCCAGGTCACACACGCTGGGTCACACATGAGTCACACCAGGTCACACGCACACACCGGGTCTCACACACACACACACACACACACACACACCAGGTCACTCACACACACACCAGGTCACTCACACACACACCAGGTCACTCACACACACACCAGGTCACTCACACACACACACCAGGTCACACACACACACCAGGTCACACACACACACACCAGGTCACACACACACCAGGTCACACACACCAGGTCACACACACACCAGGTCACACACACACCAGGTCACACACACCAGGTCACACACACCAGGTCACACACACACCAGGTCACACACACACCAGGTCACACACACACCAGGTCACACAGTGAGTTTCCGTCTTCGTCCTGACCTTGTTGTTTTGTTTCGTGCAGGAGCAGACGGAGACTCTAAAGAAGCTGCCGCCGTGAAGAAAAACGCCTCGGCCCTGAACGCCGCCAGAGTCCTCAAGAGGAGCATCAGCAAACACAACCTGCTCGCACAAGCCGCCACGCAGGCCAACGCACACGCCAACGCACACGCCAACGCACAACCCGCCGCCGAGTCTCGCACACAGGCCGAAGGACAGACCAACACGGACGGCTCGGGGGCGGTAGGTACGACGGCGGCGGCGGCGGCGGCGAGTCCACAGCCCGGAGAGGACGGCGGGGCGCAGAGCGAGGACGGACGACACGCCAAACTCAAAATGGACGGATCGGTTCTGTCGGCGGTGTCTGAGGAGAGCACGAGCGACGGAGAGACGGAGAAAGACACGGAGCAAAGGTGAGCACGAGTCTGATGTTTAAGAGACCAGACGTCCAAGTTTCTCCAGGACAGTCCCGGTTTCGAGCCTGTGTCCCTCCGTCCCACCAGATTTATCCAAAACCACTGACTTGTCCCAGTTTTATACAAGAAATGTCCCAGGTGTCTCTGTTTTTGACCAGTCTGATCCTGCCAACAGGATTTGTTTTGGTAAAATACAAAAAATCTGCTTAAAAACGACCAAAACACAAAGAAAATGTGACTAAACTGAATCTGTGTGTCATTCGTTCATTCGTTTTTCAAAGTAAAACAAAAAATATTAAAACGATTTTCTTCATTATTTGTCTCCAAGACAAAAATGGAAAAACGAATAACGGTCGTTTCCAGTTTACGTGATTTAAACTGCAATGCCGGACTGAACCAGGACTGAACCAGGACTGAACCAGGACTGAACCAGGACTAAACCAGGACTAAACCAGGACTGAACCAGGTCTGAACCAGGACTGAACCAGGACTGAACCAGGTCTAAACCAAGACTGAACCAGGACTGAACCAGGACTGAACCAGGTCTAAACCAGGACTGAACCAGGTCTGAACCAGGACTGAACCAGGTCTAAACCAGGACTAAACCAGGACTGAACCAGGACTGAACCAGGACTGAACCAGGTCTGAACCAGGACTGAACCAGGACTGAACCAGGACTGAACCAGGACTGAACCAGGACTGAACCAGGTCTGAACCAGGTCTGAACCAGGTCTGAACCAGGTCTGAACCAGGACTCTGAACCAGGACTCAACCAGGAACCAGGACTCAACAGGACTCAACCAGGACTCAATCAACTCAGGACTCAATCCCAGTCTCAGTCCTGATCACCCGACGGTCTACGCGGGCGCACCTCCGGGCCTGTCCCAATACTCAGTCCTGGTTTAGTCCTGGTTTAGTCCTGGTTCAGTCCTGGTTCAGTCCTGGTTCAGTCCTGGTTCAGTGGTTTAGTCTGGTTTAGTCCTGGTTTAGTCCAGTATCCGTTTTTTTCCATTTTTCATTTAAACACAAAATCGAAAACTGAAAAAACAAATCATTATCTGTTTTTTTCATTTTGGTTTTGGAGACAAATAATGAAGAAAACTCTTGTTTTTTTTCATTTTCTTATTTTTGGTTTTATTTTGAAAAACGAATGAACAAATGTCACACAGATTATACTGACTCACGTTTCTCCTGAATGATTTCTGCTTAACGATTTTCTTTAATTACACACTCATTTCAGTATTTTATTATTACCAACTACCAAAAAAAACGGGGACATCCCAGTTTTTTATTTTGAAATTCTGATCACTTTACCTTTATATACGTTTAGTGAAAGTCTGATTCATTATAAAGTACATGAGATTTTAAGGATATTCTACAGTGTGTATTGACATTTTTTAGAGATTAAGTTCACTCAAATTCTAAATTAAATATCCTCGTCAAGAAAATTAAAACTTTAACATTTTGTAAATAAACTATAGAAGAAGTTTCAAGTAGATTTCTCTAAATTTCAGATATTTTTTCCTTTTCACCTGTAGTGTCTCTCCTTAAGTGCACATTTTATAGATATAAAGTAAAATTTTCTACATTTTTGGTTATTTTTTGTTTATATTCGTGTTCATTTTTTAAATTTGTTGTGTCACAGAGACTATGAATAAATAAATAAAAACATTTAATCAAATAAAAGTAAAAACATATCTACATTTTCTTGTTTTGTAGAACTGAAGAGACGTCAGGACCAGCAGCCAATCAGAGCGCAGAGGGGGAGGAGCAGACGACCAATCATGGCACAGAAGCGGATCAGACGACCAATCGCAGCTCAGGAGACGCCGACGTCCCTGCCGGTCGCCTGTCGGGTGTGGAGCAAACGGCCAATCACGGCGGAGAAGACGAAGCACAAACAGCCAATCAGAGCTCTCAACCTGAGGAACAGACGACCAATCAGAGCGCAGGAGATGAAGCGCAGACGGCCAATCAGAGCGAAGGAGACGTGGAAGAGACGGCCAATCAGAGCGCAGGAGACACAGAGCAGACAACCAATCAGAGCGCAGGAGATGTGGAGAAGACGGCCAATAGCAAAACAGACGTAGAGCAAACGGCCAATCAGAACGCGGGCCTGGAGAAATCGTCCAATGAGGCGTGGGCGGGGGAGCGGGCGGTGAACCCTCAGCTCGCTCTGCTGCGCACGGAGAACGCCGACTCCTTCGACATCGAGGAGGTACCAGTTTATTTTATTTATGTATTTATAAAAAGACATTTGCCACTTTCACATGAGAACTTTAATTCAGAATAAAAATGATTTAATTCAGAATAAAAATGATTTAATTCAGAATAAAAATGATTTAATTCAGAATAAAAATGATTTAATTCAGAATAAAAATGATTTAACTCTGAATAAAAATTTATTCCGCTTTAAAAAAAAACAAACAAAAAAAACATGTGAACACTTAATTCCAAATAAAAATGATTATTTGGAATTAAACATAATTCCGATAAATTCCGATGCGTGGGTGTTTTATTCTGATTTTAAAGACGAATTAATTTATTCCTGGATTATATAAACGTTTATTCATCTTAAAAATAATTCCGGTTAGAGCTGCTCGATTATAGAAAAAATCATTATCATGATTATTTTTGGTCAATATTGAAATCATGATTATTCAAACGATTATTTTTTTTGTTACATGATGCATTTAATTAGCATTTCTCTCTAAAAAAAAAAAACAACAACACTTTGTTATTGACAATTTCCTTAAAACTCAAATTGAAAATAAATTATTGATTAAACACAAAATCAAAAACTAAAAAATCAAATTATTATTCGTTTTTATATTTTGGTTTTAAAGACAAAACTAAAAAATAATAATAATAATAATTTCTTCGTTATTTCTTATTTTTGGTTTTATTTTGAAAAACAAATGAATGAATGACACACAAATTGAAATCGAGGTCGAAATCTGTTTTTTTTTTTATTTGACACTATAACCAAAAAATTAAATAACAAACTTTTCCCATTTTATTGTTAATTAAAATTCAAAAGAACAAACGATACACAGATTTCTTTTATGTTTTGTGTTACAGTTAATAATTCCTCTTTAACAATGTGCAGGTTTTTTATTTGTGATTTTTTTTTCATTTTATTAATTGAAATATTTTTGTATGAACAGATCCACAGCGCTGAAGACGACGCTCCTCCACCGAGCAGCTCCAGGAACACGGGTGAGACCAACACACCGTCTACATCCAGTCAAACGAAGCTCACTGAGGCCACAGTTACAAGAGGGAATTTAGATGAAGTTCCATGTTAAGAAAAGGAAAAAGTGAAATAAAAACCCCAGGATCATAAAGAGAGACATGTTCTCTTCATGTTTGTTACGTCGTGTTTGTCTCGTTCGTTCTCTCCGTCCGTTCATTCTTTGGTTTAAATCTGAAGCGTCCGTTTGTCCTCAGATCTTTCTCGCACCGTGAGCCAACAGTCCGACAGCAGCGGCTTCGCAGAGGAACCGTCCTCCGACTCCTCCAGCTTCTTAAAGGTCCACTACACCTCCTTCACTTCTCCTTCACATTTCTTCTCCTCCTTCACATCTTCTCTCCTCCTTTACTTCTCCTCTGGTCCTTCACATTTCCTCTCCTCCTCCTTCTTTTCCCCTTCTTCTTCACTTCTCCTTTTATCCTTCACATCTTCTCTCCTCCTTCATGTCTTCTTCACTTCTTCACATTTTTTCTCGTCCTTCACAGCTCTTCTCCTCATCCTTCCCTCCTCCTTTCGTCCTCCTCTGTCCCTCTCCTCCTTCACATCCTCCTCCTCTCGTCCTCCTCCTTTCTCCTTCACATCTACTCTTCTCCTCCTTCTCTCCTCCTCTCGACCTCCTTCTGTTCCTCTGTTCGTCTCCTTCACATTTCCTCTTTTCACTCACATCCTTCTCTCCTCCTTTTCTTCTTCTCTCCTCTTTCACATCCTCCTCTCCTCTTTCTTATCTCTTCCTCTCGTCCTCCTTCTGTTCCTCTCCTCCTTCACATCTTCTCTCCTCCTTCTCTCCATCTTCACATCTCCTCTTTTCCTCCTCCTCTCCTCTCTCTCTTCTTCCTCCTCCTCCTCCTCTCTCTCCTCTCTCTCCTCCTCCTCTCTCTCCTCTCTCCTCCTCTCCTCCTCTCCTCTCCTCCTCTCTCCTCCTCTCCTCCTCTCTCTCCTCCTCTTCCTCTCCTCTCCTCCTCTCCTCCTCCTCCTCTCCTCTCTCCTCCTCCTCCTCCTCCTCCTCCTCTCCTCCTCCTCCTCCTCTCTCCTCCTCTCCTCCTCTTCTCCTCCTCTCCTCCTCCTCTCCTCCTCCTCCTCCTCCTCTCCTCCTCCTCTCCTCCTCTTCCTCCTCCTCTGAGCGTTCTTCCTCGTTGTTTTTTCCGTGCAGGTGCAGGAGAGCAGCGACTCGTGCGACAGTGAGACGACCGTCACGTCTCACCCGTCCCAGGACCTGGCCACGCCCGTCGCCGTCGACCAGCCGGCGTTCGCTCTGCTCACCGGGGGGGCGGAGCCGAGCGACGAGCCCGACGGCGGCGCGGACTCCGCCTTCCCCCAGTACACCGCCCACCAGCTGCCCAAAAACCCCGCCCAGACCCCGCGCAGCCCCCCGCCCACCGACGACTCGCCGGAGACCGAGGCGGAGGAGCGGAAGGCGTCAGACGACACGCCGGAGCGAGAAACCCACGTCAGACCGGTTCCTGAGTTCAGCGTCCTGGGCGGGTCTTTGGACGACGACAGGCCCAGGCAGGCGGAGTCTCCGGACTTCGTGTCAGACTGTTCGGAGTCGAGCCTGCCGCCCGCGCCCCCCTCCCCGGTGCTCGGCGCGCTCCACCGGGCCAGACTCAACCAGAGGATCCAGGGGCGAGGTCGCGGGCGCGGCGGGGTCCCTCTGCAGAGGTCCTCCTCCCTGCCCACCGCCACCGTCGTGTCCTCCGTGCGCATCCATCTGGGGCGGGGCAAAGCCAAACCGCCGCGGGACGACACGGACGGCCGGGCGGTCAACCCGCTTCGAGCGATCCCCCGCCACCTGGCGCAGTCCACCAGCTCCAGTCCCCCGCCCGACTGGGCAGCAGGCGGCGCGCCGCAGTCATGGAGCACCCAGAGCGTCCCGGAGCTGTGCTCGCACCCGCGGCAATCCTACCAGCCCCCGCCGGGGGTGACGTACACGCAGCCGCACCCCCAGCACGCCCACCTCTACGGGACGCCCTACGGCAGCTCGCCCAACCTGCTCGCCCACCACGGCTCGTACTCGGGCGTGCCCCATCACCCCGGCTTTTCCGCGCGGCCCGAGCACCCTCCCTCCGCGCTGTACGGCCACGCGGGGCACGGTTCCCCCGGCGTGTCGGCGCCGTGGTTCGGCTCTTACCCCAACCTGCACGCCTCCCCCCACCCGCCCCAGACGCTGGCTCAGAGCGCTGCTACCTTCTCCCCGTACTCTGGGCTCTCCCATTCGGCGTTTCACTACGGGAGCCACCCCCACCTCCAGCGTGTGACTCCGCCCCCTCCGGGACCACACCCCCTGCCGTACCTGCCCGAGGTCCCGCCCCCTCAGCCCGGGTTCCACCTGGGCCCGCCCCCGTCGTCCGCCACGTTCGGGGGTCCCGTGTTCTCCCCCGACGCGGCGCTTCAGCCTCACCTCGTGTCGAGCTCCGAGCTGCAGCTGCGGCGAGTCCTGCAGGAGATCAGAGGCACCGTGCTCAGCCTGGGACAGGTGAGGACAGGGACCAGCCTGTATTTTACTACTTTACATCCTTGTTTTATTTAAAGACGAGTGTTTTACTTCTGTGGCGTTTTAACTGTGTCACATTATAGATTTAGATCAACATGTTTCCTTTTAGTGTTTGGAAAACGCTGTGTTCACTTTAGTTTTAGAAAAGCTCCAAAAATGGAGTAAAATGTTCTTCAGGTAAATCGTCAGTTTTCAGAGTTTTAGTCACTTTGACAAAGACGTCGGTCACTGAGGCTCACAGGACGGTTCACAGCTCCTCGTCTGGACGGGGTTTTTAGAAACGAGTCTCGTCAGAGTCTAATGGAGTAAAAACTAAAGCGCCGGATGACGCCTTTGTTTAGAGTCTTTGTGTTTGAGTTCAGACGCCCCTGATGCCTCCACACCAGGACCTTCATCGCCCTGGAAACAAATGACATTTCCCGACTTTTCCCGGAGCGATGGGCCAGACTGAGAAAGACTTTAGTGTTTTTATTACATAAAACCATCAGCGGAGAAGTTCAGCTCAGTGACGTGAAAATGTTTATACTCCACTAATGACACTGGTCCAGTCCCGGTCCAGTCCCGGTCCAGTCCCGGTCCAGTCCCGGTCCAGTCCCGGTCCAGTCCTGGCGATCAGCTCGGTGGTTGTTTTGTACATATATTTGGGTCTTTTTCTTCTGGATAATAATGTTTTTACATCCCTCAGCAGTCGTCCCTGACACTTTCACTGTGACATGAGTCACTCTGAGCTTCTTTTTCTTCTCTAGAGTCGATTGGGAAGCCCCAGTGTGTTTTCAGAGCAGAGAACAACTCCAGCCTCTCCTCAGGTGCACACATCTCTCTGTCAGTGTGTGTGTTGTGTGTGATGTGTGTGTGTGTGTGTGTGTGTGTGTGTGTGTTTTATGTGTGTGTGTGTGTGTGTGTGTGTGTGTGTGTGTGTGTGTGTGTGTGTGTGTGTGTTGTGTGTGTGTGTGTGTGTGTTATGTGTGTGTGTGTGTGTCATGTGTGTGTGTGTGTGTGTGTGTGTGTGTGTGTGTGTGTGTGTTTTATGTGTGTGTGTGTGTGTGTGTGTGTGTGTGTGTGTGTGTGTGTGTGTGTGTTGTGTGTGTGTGTGTGTGTGTATGTGTGTGTGTGTGTGTGTGTGTGTTTTATGTGTGTGTGTGTGTGTGTGTGTGTGTGTGTGTGTCATGTGTGATGTGTGTGTGTGTGTTGTGTGTTTTATGTGTGTGTGTGTTTTATGTGTGTGTGTGTGTGTGTGTTTTATGTGTGTGTGTGTGTGTTTTATGTGTGTGTGTGTTGTGTGTGTGTGTTTTATGTGTGTGTGTGTGTGTGTGTGTGTGTGTGTGTTATGTGTGTGTGTGTGTGTGTGTGTGTGTTTATGTGTGTGTGTGTGTTTTATGTGTGTGTGTGTGTGTGTGTGTTATGTGTGTGTGTGTGTGTGTGTTTATGTGTGTGTGTGTTATGTGTGTGTGTGTGTGTGTGTGTTTATGTGTGTGTGTGTGTGTGTGTTATGTGTGTGTGTGTGTGTGTGTGTGTGTGTGTTTTATGTGTGTGTGTGTGTGTGTGTGTGTGTGTGTGTGTGTGTTTATGTGTGTGTGTGTGTGTGTGTGTTGTGTGTGTGTTTTATGTGTGTGTGTGTCATGTGTGTGTGTGTGTGTGTGTGTGTGTTGTGTGTGTGTGTGTGTGTGTTGTGTGTATGTGTGTGTTGTGTGTGTGTGTGTGTGTGTGTGTGTGTGTGTGTTTTATGTGTGTGTGTGTGTTTTATGTGTGTGTGTGTGTGTGTGTGTGTGTTATATGTGTGTGTGTGTGTGTGTGTGTGTGTGTTGTGTGTTTTTTGTGTGTGTGTGTGGTTGTGTGTTGCAGACGGTGTCTGAGTTGCTGTTGAAGAGACGGAGTCTGAACTCGTTTCGTTCTCAGATGATGGAGCTGGAGCTGCTCATCCTCCGAGAACAAGCCCCAGTCTACAGACACCTGAGCCCCACCGACAGGTCCTACCTCCTACATCCTACCTCCTACATCCTCTCCTACTTCCTACATCCTACATCCTTCTCCTACATCCCTCCTCTCCTACATCCTCTCCTACATCCTACCTCTCTACATCCTCTCTCCTACATCCTCCATCCTCCCCTACATCCTACATCCTCCGAGAACAAGCCCCAGTCTACAGACACCTGAGCCCCACCGACAGGTCCTACCTCCTACCTCCTACATCCTACATCCTACATCCTCTCCTACATCCTACATCCTACTCTCCACCTCCTACATCCTACTCCTCTCTCCTACATCCTACATCCTACTCCTACATCCTACATCCTCTCCTACATCCTCCGAGAACAAGCCCCAGTCTACAGACACCTGAGCCCCACCGACAGGTCCTACCTCCTACATCCTACATCCTACATCCTACATCCTCTCTCCTACATCCTACCTCCTACATCCTACCTCCACCTCCTCCTACCTCCATCTCTCCTACTCCTCCTACATCCTCTCTCCTACATCCTACCTCCTACATCCTCTCTCCTACATCCTACATCCTCTCCTACATCCCACATCCTCCGAGAACAAGCCCCAGTCTACAGACACCTGAGCCCCCGACAGGTCCTACTCCTACCTATCCTACCATCCTACCTCCTACATCTCCTACTCTCCTACATCCTACCTCCTACATCCTACTCCTACACTCCTCTCTCCTACACTCCTACATCCTCCGAGAACAAGCCCCAGTCTACAGACACCTGAGCCCCACCGACAGGTCCTACCTCCTACCTCCTACATCCTACATCCTACCTCCTACATCCTCTCTCCTACATCCTACATCCTCTCTCCTACATCCTACCTCCTACATCCTCTCTCCTACATCCTACATCCTCTCCTACATCCTCCGAGAACAAGCCCCAGTCTACAGACACCTGAGCCCCACCGACAGGTCCTACCTCCTACATCCTACCTCCTACACCTCCTACATCCTACATCCTCTCTCCTACATCCTACATCCTCTCTCCTACATCCTACATCCTCTCCTACATCCTACATCCTCCCTTCCTCCTACCTCCTAAGCCTCCACTCCTACCTCCTACTCCTACATCCTACTCCTACCTCCTACATCCTACATCCTCCTACTCCCATCCTACATCCTCCTCCTACTACCTCCTACACCTCCTACATCCTCCTCTCTACATCCTACTCTCCTACCCTACATCCTACATCCTCATCCTACTCCTACATCCTACATCCTCTCCTACATCCTCCAAGAACAAGCCCCAGTCTACAGACACCTGATCCCCACCGACAGGTCCTACATCCTACATCCTACTCCTACATCCTCCTACATCCTACTCCTACATCTCTCCTCCTCTGTCTCCTCCTCCTCTCCTCTCCTCCTCCTCTCTTCTCTCCTCCTCTCTCCTCCTCCTCTCTCCTTCCTCTCGTCTTCGTCTTTCCTCTCGTCCTCAGTAGTGTTTTACTTCGAGTGTTGACATAAACCTGCATGATCCTGAACAGTGTTTATGTTTGTTTATGTTGTGTGTTTGTGTATTTGTCTGTGTGTGTTTTTTGTGTCTGTGTGTGGTCGTGTGTCTGTGTGTGTGTGTCGTGTGTATGTGTGTTTATGTGTGTCCGTGTGTGTCGTGTGTTTGTGTGTTTATGTGTGTCTGTGTGTGTGTCGTGTGTATGTGTGTTTATGTGTGTGTGTGTGTGTCGTGTGTGTGTGTTTATGTGTGTGTGTGTGTGTGTGTTTGTGTGTTTATGTGTGTCCGTGTGTGTGTCGTGTCCAGGCTGGAGGTGGAGCATCTTCAGCGTCTTCGCTCTGCGGTTCGAGAGGAGCTGCAGGAGCTGGAGGCTCTTCTGGAGGAGCGACTCCTGGAGCTGCACCCTCCTCCACACGTGGTACTGTCCAAACATCTGGTTTGAATCTTTCTGTCCTGAGGCACAGACGAGACGACACTGTCCCGTTCTGTTCCTCCAGGAGGCGCCGTTGGACCGTCCTTAATAAACTCTGTGTTTGTTCTTCAGGGTTTTCCGCAGGGCTCCAGTGAAGACAACCTGAGCTCCGCCTCGGCCCTGAGAGCCATGGAACCGGTCAGTAAACAAACACACAAATACACACAAACACACACTCTGTTTTAAATTTCCTCAAATTGTGACGTCATAGGTAGAGATTCGGTTCATAAATTGTCGCCACACTTTGAGTATTTCTGCTTAAAATCAAGTTTACGAGCTCGTGTAGGCAGTTTAAACGGCACTTTTTAGGCGAGCAAAGTCCAACCGAGGGAAGTCCAACCGAGGGAAGTCCAACCGTGCGAAGTCCAACCGAGCGAAGTCCAACCGAGCGAAGTCCAACCGTGCGAAGTCCAACCGTGCGAAGTCCAACCGTGCGAAGTCCAACCGTGCGAAGTCCAACCGTGCGAAGTCCAACCGTGCGAAGTCCAACCGTGCGAAGTCCAACCGTGCGAAGTCCAACCGTGCGAAGTCCAACCGAGCGAAGTCCAACCGTGCGAAGTCCAACCGAGCGAAGTCCAACCGAGCGAAGTCCAACCGAGCGAAGTCCAACCGAGCGAAGTCCAACCGAGCGAAGTCCAACCGAGCGAAGTCCAACCGTGCGAAGTCCAACCGTGCGAAGTCCAACCGTGCGAAGTCCAACCGTGCGAAGTCCAACCGTGCGAAGTCCAACCGAGCGAAGTCCAACCGTAGCGAAGTCCAAAGCGAAGTCCGAGCGAAGTCCAACGAGCGTCCACGCCAAGCGAAGGTGCAGGCGAGCGAAGTACAGCTACTTTTGCGTATGTCCACACACTTTTGTCACCGTATGCACGCAGAATTCCCTCCCGAAAACGCTCATCTAAGTGCAGAATAAAAATGAAGACTTGACGCCACTTTTGGTTCTTCTGTTCAGACCCTCATCATATAAACGTAGCCTCAGATTTAAACTTTGATCGATGAGGGAAACGCAGAGTCTGATGTTTTCTCCGTGTGCTCAGGTGTCCGACCTCCTGAGGGAGCAGCTCCTCCTCCAGTCCGAGCTCCGTTACCATAGCAACAGCGGCTCCCCCGCCTCCTCCTGCTGCTCCAGTCCATTGAGGAGGAGCCAGAGCCGGGGGGCGGGGCATTACAGCGCGTCAATCAACATAACGCCCGCCCCCCCTCCCCGAGCCGCGTCGGAGACTCCACAGACCTGCCCCTCGGAGCAGCCGGGGGAGGGGCCACGCGCCGCAGAGACCACGCCCACAGGAGGAGGGCGGGGACAGGAGGCAGAGCCCACGCCCACAGGAGGGGGGCGGGGACTGGAGACCGAGACCACGCCCCCTGTGGACAACCTGCAGCAGCTGATCAGAGAGGTACAAACTCACTACACGTTTAAGACGTTTGGAAACTTATGGATCACGACTTAAGGTGTGATTAACAACACTGAGCAGTCAGGACTAAACCAGGACTAAACCAGGACTAAACCAGGACTAAACCAGGACTAAACCAGGTCTAAACCAGGAGTAAACCAGGTAAACCAGACTAAACCAGGACTAAACCAGGACAGGTCTAAACCAGGTCTAAACCAGGTCTAAACCAGGTCTAAACCAGGTCTAAACCAGGTCTAAACAGGTCTAAACCAGGTCTAAACCAGGTCTAAACCAGGTCTAAACCAGGACTAAAACCAGGTAAACCAGGTCTAAACCAGGTCTAAACCAGGACTAAACCAGGACTAAACCAGGTCTAAACCAGGTCTAAACCAGGACTAAACCAGGTCTAAACCAGGTCTAAACCAGGTCTAAACCAGGTCTAAACCAGGACTAAACCAGGACTAAACCAGGTACAGGTGTTTTAAAGTGACAGGTTTTTATGATTGTCAAATGTTTTTCCTTCCTGTGCTGGATTATAATTATTATAAATATAAAATTATAGTTTTACACAAATCAAGAAGCGACTTGCAAAGAAATATGAAATTATTCTATTTTAAACATGATTTTGACAAAATAAAGGTATTTTGTTTTATTTTATTTGTCAAAACATAATTAAATAAAAAACAGGGAAATAACATAATTCAAACTTTAAAAGGCCCATGCCTAAAGGTAAAAGGAACTGTTCACTTTAAAACTACCACTTCATGACATCACAAGGTGGAACCGTTTTTTTTCATTTCTTCGTTTTGTTTTCAGATCAGACAAAGTGTCGCTGAGGAAATCCGCAGAGAGATCTACAGTGGGCTGCTCGCCTCCATCGCCCCCGCCAAACAACAGTAACCATGGCGACCAAGTCCTCCAAAACCCCGTCCTCGCCTCGTCCTCCCAAACCTTCGCCTCTGTCTTCCCAAACCCCAGCCCCATCCTCTTAAACCTCGCCCCAGGCCCTCGTCCCCGTCCTCCCAAACCTCATCGTCCCAAATCTTCGTCCCTGCCCTGGTTCCCGTCCTCGCCCTCCGTCCTTGCCCTCATCCGCACCTTCGTCCTCCCAAACCTCGTCCCTGTTCCCGCCCTCGCCCTCTTCGTCCCAAACCTTGTCCCCGTTCTCGCTCTCGCCCCTGTCCACCCAAGCCTCGTCCCCGTCTCCGCCCCCACCCTCGTCCTCTCTCCCGTCCTCCTAAACCCCGCTCCTCCCAAACCTTCGTCCTCTCAAAGTTCGTCCTCCCAGACCTCGTCCCCGTCTCTGCCCTCGCCCCCGTCAGTCCCAAACCTCGTCCCCGTTCCCGATCTCGCCCCTGTCCACCCAAACCTCATCCCCACCCTGTCCCCGTCCTCCCAAACCTCGTCCCCGTCTCCGCCCCCACCCTCGTCCTCTCTCCCGTCCTCCTAAACCCGCTCCTCCCAAACCTCGTCCTCTCAAAGTTCGTCCTTGCCCCCGTCCCCACCCTCGTCCTCCCAGAACTTGCCCCCGTCCTGTTCCCGTCCTCCCAAACCCCGTCCTCGTCCCCGTCCTCGTCTGTAACACTGTACGCTGTATAAACACTGTAAAGACTGTCACTCCCAGGAGGCGTCGCTCTGAACTCGACCAGAACCTCGAGCGCCGACTGCAGAAAAACATCAAAACATTCACAATAATGACTTGAATTTTTGTTCTTCTTCTTCTTCTCTTCAAACGAATCCTACAGGAAACGTTCTGACTCCTGATCGGTGCAGGCGCTCGGCTTTAGAAGGTTTTTAAAAGTGTTTTTGAGCTAAAAAAAAAAAAAACTACAACTGAACAAATGCATCTTTATATAAGTTTAATTTTCACTCAGTTATAAATGTTTTGTTTCGTTGTTTTTTTTTTTTTTAGCTCTGAACTCTTTTAAAAACCTGCGTTCTGATTGTGACGAGTAACTGTCGGGACCCTCAACGAGAAAAGTTCCAGAGTGCACCTTTAAATGCCGTAGGATTCGTCCAGGTCCTGAAAGATCCATAATAATCGAGTTGTTGTTTTTTTTTTTTTTTTTTTTCGTTCTGAACGTCGTGTTTTTGCAGTTTCGAAGATGATGAACGTTTGGAGAGACGTTCGTCCACTTGAAACGTCACTGTTCATGTTTGTGTTTGTGATTCTAGGAGCAGAAATGGAGTTTAAAAAAAATGTATAGTTTAATTAAATGTAATGAAAAGGAAAAAGATGACAATAACACACGTACACACGTTGTATTTTTCAGATTATAAGGAGCGTTAATCGAAACAAACGGGCGACACTTGAGTCTGATCCTTGGTCCATTCGTCCTCGATCCGTCGGCAGATCGTGGTGTAACTCGCCCGGCGCCGTCTCTCTGTCCCGGTGAATCTGGGAGGAGAATCTGTGTGTCGTTCGTTCATTTGTTTTTCAAAATAAAACCAAAAATTAAGAAAATTTTGTTTTCTTCATTATTTTTCTCCAGAACCAAAATGAAAAAAAAAAAAGGATAATGATTCGTTTTTTCAGTTTTTGATTTTGGGTTTAAATGAAAAATTAAAAAAATGGATAACGGACTGAACCAGGACTGAACCAGGACTGAACCAGGACTAAACCAGGACTGAACCAGGACTGAACCAGGACTGAACTGGTTCAGTCCTGTGTCGGGGGCCCAGAGGTGCACCCACGTAGACTGTCAGGTGATCGGGACTGAGACCAGGACCAGAATGGGACCAGAATAGACCGGGACTGAACCAGGTCTAAACCAGGTCCTGGTCTTGGTCCGTTCTCAGTCCCAGTCTCGGTCTCAGTCCCGGTCTGTTCCCAGTCCGGTCCTGGTCTCAGTCCCAGTCCTGATCTTGGTCCTGGTCTCAGTTCTGGTCTCAGTCCTGGTGTCAGTCCCAGTCTGGTCCCGGTCTCAGTTCCGGTCAGTCCGGTCCTGGTCTTGGTCTGGGTCTCTGTCACACTCCCGGTCTCAGTCCTGGTCTGGTCTCGGTCCCGGTCTCGGTCCCGGTCTCGGTCCCGGTCTCAGTCCTGGCCTGGTCTTGGTCTGGTCACAGAAACGGGAAACAAATCTTTTTTTTTTTTTTTTTCATTTTTGTTTTGGAGACAAATAACGAAGAAAACAGTTGTTTTTTTGTTTCCTTATTTTTAGTTTTATTTTGAAAAACGATTGAACAAATGACACACACAGATTCATAAGGAGCACTGTCGACTTTTGAGAAAATTAAAGGATTTTAAGAGCATCTTATAGTTTGAAAAATCCAGTAAACACACACAGACAGACACACTACACTGTTTCTTTGTTGGTTTAGTGTATAAAGTGAATCATGTCAGCAGTAATTAATATATAATGTATTTAATAGAACAGAAACACTTTAATAATAAAAAGTTCGTCAGTGCAAGAAACAAAAAAAACACAAACGAGCCGCTGTGGTTCAACGTCACAACGGTCGCGTCGTTAAAGAGTCGGAGGTTTTACTGTACGGCCGCTTCCTCCTGTGTCCTAACGCCGCTCCCTCTTCAAAAAACCCGCCCCAAGACTCGTTTTTGAGAGTCGTCCGTTCACGTTTGAGCAATTTAGCGATCTCTCTTCCTGTGGACACGAGCCCACGCCGCGATTCTCCGTAAATTTACACCCAAAAAAAAACGTGACGCGGAACGATGCGCTACAACCCGACGAACCCGACGCGACGCGCGGGGGTTTCGTCGGCGGGCGCGGCTCTGAAGGGGGAGCGGCTCGGCGCGGGGAGCAGCGTAACGCCCGACTCTTTAAGACGACGCCGTACGACCTAAACCCGTAACGCGGAGTCACGTCTGGAGCTCCACGTCCCGGTGTTTCAGAGCGAGTTGTTCCATCTCTGTCTTTAAATCTGCATCGTGTAACTTTTTCGCTTCACCTGCTGGTTTCCACGGAGACGCTTTGCCCGGAATGTTCCTTAGTGCGGCATTTAAAGCGAACGTGAACAGTAGCTCAGTCGGTAAGAGCGTTTGGCCTCTGATCAGATTTACGGTGAATGTTAAATGTGTGTAAATGTGTGTAAATGTGTGTAAATGTGTGTAAATGTGTGTCGTGTTCTACAGCAGCTTCATAAATCTGCTCCATCATCAAATCTGACCACGTTTGGACTCGGTCTCGTCTCGGACTCGGTCTTGTCTTGGACTCGGTCTTGTCTCGGTCTTTAAGGCACTTGGACTCGGTCTTGTCTCGGTCTTGAAGACGTTTGGACTCGGTCTTGTCTCGGTCTTGAAGGCGCTTGGACTCGGTCTTATCTCGGTCTTGAAGACGTTTGGACTCGGTCTTGTCTCGGTCTTGAAGGTGCTTGGACTCGGTCTTGAAGGCATTTGGACTCGGTCTTATCTCGGTCTTGAAGACGTTTGGACTCGGTCTTATCTCGGTCTTGTCTCGGTCTTGAAGACGTTTGGACTCGGTCTTATTCTCGGTCTTGTCTCGGTCTTGAAGGCGCTTGGACTCGGTCTTATCTCGGTCTTGAAGACGTTTGGACTCGGTCTTATCTCGGTCTTGAAGACGTTTGGACTCGGTCTTATCTCGGTCTTGTCTCGGTCTTGAAGACGTTTGGACTCGGTCTTGTCTCGGTCTTGTCTCGGTCTTGAAGGCGTTTGGACTCGGTCTTGTCTCGGTCTTGAAGACGTTTGGACCGGTCTCTCGGTCTTGGACTTGGACTCGGTCTGTCTCGGTCTTGAAACTCGGTCTTGTCTCGGTCTTGAAGACGTTTGGACTCGGTCTTGAAGGCGTTTGGACTCGGTCTTGTCTCAGTCTTGAAGGGTCTTGGACTCTCGTCTTGAAGACGTTTGGACTCGGTCTTATCTCGGTCTTTCGGTCTTGGAGGACTCGGTCTTGAAGGCGTTTGGACTCGGTCTTGTCTCGGTCTTGAAGACGTTTGGACTCGGTCTTTCTCGTCTTGAAGACTCGGTCACTCGGTCTTGTCTCGGTCTTGAAGGTGCTTGGACTCGGTTTGAAGACGTTTGGACTCGGTTTTCGGTCTTGAAGACGTTTGGACTCGTCTCTCGGTCTTGAAGGTTGACTCGTCTTGAACTTGGACTCGGTCTTGTCTCGGTCTTGAAGACGTTTGGACTCGATCTTGTTGATGACATCACAAGGTGGAACAGAGCGTTTTGAGCTTTGAGTAACATTTTAATCTTTAGTCCGAACAAAAACGAAAACGTTTAATAAAAATAAAAGACAGAAGTGTCAGAAAAAGTCCTTCCTCGTGTCTAAATTGTCCAACATTTTTTGTACTTTTCTTAATTTTTTCCCCCACAAACCGCCTCGTTAATAAAAATAAAACTATGATTTCTGTTCTAATGTGGTTTCCTCATCGCACACAGACCCGGAGTTGCAGATTTAGGCTCCCAAACGTTCTTTTCCCAAACTAAAAACGCTCCGTTCCACCTCGTGATGTCATCGTGTGGTGATAACACCGGAAGTGCTCTGTTGTGTTTTTTAATTAAACTCCACACGCACCTTCGGTCAGATTCGGTCGGTCTCTACTGAAATCTCTACACTTACAGAAAAGTTACGAGGAGCTGTTTACATGAAAACCACCATTTCGTGACATCACAAGGTGGAACAGAGCGTTTTGAGCTTTGAGTAACACTTTAATCTTTAGTACGAACACGCGAAAGGAAAAAAAAAAACAACTCCAGCTCTTGTTTTTGAGGAGGAAACGACTTTAGAACACAGTTTAAAGCTTCACGAGAGTTTATTTTTGTCGACCTTTTAATGCCGTACTGTGGAATATTCCAGGCAAAGCTCCACGGAGACGAGCGGGCGGCGTCAGAAAGGTTCCGCCGTGCTCCTCGGACACGTCTGCGATCGTGTTCCGACGTGCGCGGGACTGTGGGGTTCGGCTTCAGATCGTCGTGTTCAACATCTGGACGTGTTTTTATGTCATTTTAATGTAATTTAACTCTGATTTTTAAGATGAATTAATAAAATAAATCCAGATATTTTTCCAGAAGAGTTAAGACGATTTTATTTCTGTGTCTGATTACTGAGTCTGGAAACTGGAGCCCAGACGTTTGGCCTCGGGTTCCTCTGACCTCCAGCGGTTCTTTATCATCATGGTCTTAAAGTACGTGACCTACTGTAGTATTTTATTTTGGGATTATTTCGGGGCTTGTGTAACGCGTTTCCTGTTCCTCGTGTTGTTTTAACCTTCACCAGAAGAATCGCGTGTTTGCACAAAGTCCACGGCTCATTGTTTGAAGCAGAACAAACCGCGGCTCAAACACCCGAGAAAAACACAAAACGTAAACCAGGTCCAAAAAAAAAACCTCCACCTGAGACTTTCACCGAACTCCAACAAACTTTATCATCCAAATATACAACAATTTAAACATAAAACATAAACAGAAAGCAGCTCAAGGTTCGAGTAAAAGTAAAAATGTAGAGCTAAATCATAAAATCAGCTTGAGACGAAGTAAAATAGTAATGATCATTTAATTTAAAACAAATATAATAAAAACAATAATGATCATTTAAGTTAAAACAGGTAAAAGTGTCAATTAAAAGCTACATTAAAAAAGAGACGTTTTGAGTTTAGTTTTTAGTTGTTTGGTTAATTTTCTTGGGACGGTTCAAAGACGAGACCTGAGGAGCTGAGAGTCCGAGAGGCTCGTGTGATAAAAGCCGAATCAGAAAAATGAACAGGACCAAGACCGTTAAGAGATTTAGAAACCAATAATTTTTAATTTTTTTTGGAGGAGTTTTTTTTTGGAGGAGCGCGAGTTTTGGAGGAGCAGGAGTTTTTGGAGGAGTTTTGGAGGAGTTTTGGAGGAGCTGTAGAGTTTTGGAGGAGTTTTGGAGGAGCTGTAGAGTTTTGGAGGAGTTTTGGAGGAGCTGTAGAGTTTTTGGAGGAGTTTTGGAGTTTTGGAGGAGCTTTGGAGGAGCTTTGGAGGAGTTTTGGAGGAGCTGTAGAGTTTTGGAGCTTTGGAGGAGCTGTAGAGTTTTGGAGGAGTTTTGGAGGAGCGCGAGAGTTTTGCTGAGAGTTTTGGAGGAGGAGTTTTGGAGGAGTTTGGAGGAGTTTTGGAGGAGCTGTAGAGTTTTGGAGGAGCTGTAGCTGTAGAGTTTTGGAGGAGCTGTAGAGTTTTGGAGGAGTTTTGGAGGAGTAGAGTTTTGGAGGAGTTTTGGAGGAGTTTTGGAGAGTTTTGAGTTTTGAAGGAGTTTTGGAGGAGTTTTGGAGGAGTTTTGGAGGATCTGTAGTGAAGCTGTAGTTTTCTTTAGAAGACCAGAAATAAAAGGAGATCATTACAGTGATCAGCTCAGGTGAAGCTCCAGAGATTCTACCAGAGTTGATCTCAGTCACGTTTCAGCCTCAAAGTCCTGAATAAAACAAAGTGCAGTGGGGTGAAAATGGACTCAGACTTGAACTTTAACAGACGCGTCAAGTGGAGAAGATCTGCAGCTTTTTAAAACCTAAAAAACATTAAAAAATCACAAGCAACTGTCCAAATCAAACTTGGAGACTTGTTCCATGTGTTTTAGATCCTGTAACGTCTCACTGTGAGCCAGAGGTGCAGGTCGTTGTTTTGCAAGTCTCAAGTCCGAGTCAAGTCCCAAGTCAAACACAGTCAAGTCCAAGTCGAGTCTCGAGTCACTGGTCCATAAGTCCAAGTCGTCTGCTTTGAGCTTCAAGTCATTTCAAGTCTTTAAACTGATTTTTGCAATTTATATGATAAATTTATAATAAATTAAATAAATATCTACATATTTATCATATATAATTAATAATAAATTGTATTCATAAATCAGTATTTTTATATATGAGTATTTATAGAGTTTAGAAGTATATTGTTGTAATTTTTTTTTAATGTCCTGACAAGATCTTAGTCTTAATCATTTCGGTAAGAACAGAAAGAATTCAGATTTAAAAGTTTCTCAAGTCACAGGCCTCAAGTCCAAGTCGAGTCCCAAGTCTTAGTCCGTTTTATCAAGTCTCAAGTCCTAAAAATAGTGACTCAAGTCTGACAAGTCCAAGTCACGACTTGCAAGTCCCCACCTCTGCTGTGAGACGCTGCAGCTCAGGTCATGACTCGAGTCGAGACGTACGAGCTCGTGTCCTGTGGCTCAGTGTGAATGTATGAAAAAGAAAACTGCTACTGTTGCGCATAAACGTGAAGATTTATTGGAAATTGATCCATATTTGTGATTGAAATGAAATGTTCTGATTTGAAATGTTTTAAAGCGACTCTCGGTGTTAAAGTTTTGTCTGGAAAAGGAAAGAAGCGGCAGAAAATATTATTTTTACTCTTTTTTTCTGCTGCTTTTCATTCATTTCTTGTTTAATGTTAGGATGCTGTTAATGTCGTTTTATGTTTTATGAATTAAATAAATACAATAAAAAAGATCAAGTAAAAGTCCACAGGTGGAGTCAGATCTGCGTCAGGGCCGTTTGAGGAGAGTAACAACGCTCAGGACAAAAGTGCTCGAGGTCAAGTATTTAAATGGAGAAAGAGCCGGAGTGTGTTTAAAGAGCTTTATTGAAACAAACATTTTAAAAATTCGTAAAAGAAAAGCACTCGCGCACACGCACACACACTTTCTCACACGCACACGCACACACACACTCGCGGTCGCCATGGTCACCAGCCAAACATATACTCCATGGCTTTAGACACGAAGCTGTCGTCTTTCCTCGGCGTTTGTCTGTCGGAAACAACCTGAACACAAACACAAAAACACTCGTCAGGCTCATCACGTCTCGTTTATCGGTTCTACGAGGTTCTGTCGTGTCACAAAAGTGGGCGGGGACAGGTGTGAAGAGACAGAACCCTCAACCAATAAAAACCACCCCTCTGGCCCCGCCCTCCTGTCACCGTTGGCCAATAGGAGCAGGAGTTTTTTTTTTTTTAAAGCTTTAGAATCAACTTTAATTTTCATTTAGTGGAGGGTCCATCTAACACTTTTCTTCATGGAGATGTTCCTGCTCTGTCTGGAATGTTCCACAGTGTGACTTTAAACAGCTCTACTTTAGATTTATTCAGTTACAGGTGGTTTTAGAGCTCAAAAATACCAAGAAAATACAGAAAAAGTCCAAAGATCTGACTTGTAACTTGGTGTGGTTTGGTCTTCATGAGGACAGAATCTGTGTGTCGTTTGTTCATTTGTTTTTCAAAATAAAACCAAAAATAAGAAAATGAAAAAAAAAAAAAAAATGTCTTTGTCTCCAAAACCAAAATGAAAAAACAGATAATGATTTTTTTTTTTCAGTTTTCGATTTTCTGTTTAATAGAAAAATGGAAAAAACAGATACTGGACTGAACCAGGACTAAACCAGGACTAAACCTTAAAAATGGGATTGAACCAGGTCTAAACCAGGACTAGAACCAGGACTAAAAACTGGACTAAACCAGGACTGAAAACCAGACTAAAAACCGGACCGAACCAGGTCTAAACCAGGTCTAAACCAGGTCTAAACCAGGTCTAAACCTTGCACTAACCTTGGCGCACCTCCGGGCCCGTCCTGACACTCAGACCTGGTTTAGTCCTGGTTTAGTCTGTTTTTTCCATTTTTCATTTAAACACAAAATTTAAACTGAAAAAATGAATCATTAACTGTTTTTTCATTTTGGTTTTGGAGACAAATAATGAAGAAAATTGTTGTTTTTGGTTTTATTTTGAAAAACAAATGAAAAGAGATTTGATAGAAGCTTTAATGCCGTACTGTGGGACATGTGTGTGTGTGTGTGTGTGTTGTGTGTGTGTGTGTGTGTGTGTGTGTGTGTGTGTGTGTGTCTGTGTTGTGTGTGTGTATGTGTGTGTGTGTGTGTGTGTTGTGTGTGTGTGTGTGTTGTGTGTGTAGGGGGGGTACAGACCTGGTAGTCGTTGGCAGAGGAGCGTTGGGCGCTCAGGGGTCTGATGGTGGAGCGAGGAGTCGAGGGCAAAGCCGAAGACGAGAAGGACGAGGAGAGAGGAGACGAGACGTCTGCGCTCTCCATCACACTCTGAACACACACACACACACACACAGACACACAGACACACACACACACATACACATATATACACACACACACACACACGAGAACAGATCAATAAAAAGTATTAACATGTTTTATCTGTTTCACTTTGTTTTTTCTGAAGTCAAAAGTCTGAGTCATAAGTCACTCCCTCAGTTTTGTGTCACGTTTTTGTTTATTTATGGAGAAATGTCGTGTGGGAGACTCGGACACCAGAACGTGGACGACACCAGAACGTGGACAACACCAGAACGTGGACACTAGAACCTAGATACTAGAACATGGACACAGGAGCTCGGACCCCAGAACTTGGACGACACTAGAACTTGGACACGTAGAGCTCAGGTACTAAGAGCGCGGAGACCCTAGAGCGCGGACCTAAGAGCGCGGACATTAGAGCGCGGACCTAGAGCGCGGACATTGGAGCGCGCGGACATTAGAGCGCGGACATTAGAGCGCGGACCCTAGAGCGCGGACCCTAAGAGCGCGACCCTAAGAGCGCGGACCCTAGAGCGCGGACCCTAGAGCGCGGACCCTAGAGCGCGGACATTAGAGCGCGGACCCTAAGAGCGCGGACCCGAGAGCGCGGACCCTAGAGCGCGGACCCTAAGAGCGCGGACATTAGAGCGCTAGAGCGCGGACATTAGAGCGCGGACCCTAAGAGCGCGGACCCGAGAGCGCGGACCCTAGAGCGCGGACCCTAAGAGCGACCCTAGAGCGCGGACCCTAAGAGCGCGGACCTAGAGCGCGGACCCTAGAGCGCGGACATTAGAGCGCCCTAGAGCGCGGCCCTAAGAGCGCGGACCCTAGAGCGCGCGACCCTAGAGCGCGGACCCTAAGAGCGCGGACCCTAGAGCGCGACCTAGAGCGCGGACATTAGAGCCCTAGAGCGCGGACCCTAGAGCGCGGACCCTAGAGCGCGGACCTAAGAGCGCGGACATTAGAGCGCGGACCCTAGAGCGCGGACCCTAAGAGCGCGGACCCTAGAGCTGGACCCAGAGCGCGGACCCTAGAGCGCGGACCCTAGAGCGCGGACCCTAAGAGCGCGGACATTAGAGCCTAGAGCGCGGACCCTAGAGCGCGGACCCTAGAGCGCGGACCCTAAGAGCGCGGACCCTAGAGCGCGGACCCTTAGAGCGCGGACCCTAGAGCGCGGACCCTAAGAGCGCGGACCCTAAGAGCGCGGACCCTAAGAGCGCGGACATTAGAGCGCGGACCCTAAGAGCGCGGAAGAGCGCGGACCTAAGAGCGACCCTAGAGCGCGGAGCCGAGCGAAAGAGCGCGGACCCTAAGAGCGCGGACCCTAAGAGCGCAGACCCTGAGAGCGCGGACCCTGAGCGCGACCCAGAGCGCGCGGACCCTAAGAGCGCGGACCCGAGAGCGCGGACCCTAAGAGCGCGGACCCTAAGAGCGCGGACCCTAAGAGCGCGGAGAGCGCGGACCCTAAGAGCGCGCGACCCTAAGAGCGCGGACCCTAAGAGCGGACCCGGACCCTAAGAGCGCGACCCTAAGAGCGCCCTAAGAGCGCGGACCCTAAGAGCGCGACCCGCGGACCCTAAGAGCGCGGACCCTAAGAGCCTAAGAGCGGACCCTAAGAGTGCGGACATTGGAGCGCGGACCTAGAGCGCAGACCCTAAGAGCGCGGACCCTAAGAGCGCGCTGAGCGGACCCTAAGAGACCGCGAGACCCTAGAGCAGCGCGGACCCTAGAGCGCGGACCCTAAGAGCGCGGACCCTAGAGCGCGGACCCTAGAGCGCCTAAGAGCGCGACCCTAAGAGCGCGGACCCTAAGAGCGCGGACCCTAGAGCGCGGACCCTAAGAGCGCAGACCCTAGAGCGCGGACCCTAAGAGCGCGGACCCTAAGAGCGCGGACCCTAAGAGCGCGGACCCGAGAGCGCGGACCCTAAGAGCGCGGACCCTAGAGCGCGGACCCTAAGAGCGCGGACCCTAAGAGCGCGGACCTGAGAGCGCGGACCCTAAGAGCGCGCGGACCCTAAGAGCGCGGACCCGAGAGCGCGGACCCTAAGAGCGCGGACCCTAAGAGCGCGGACCCTAGAGCGCGGACCCTAAGAGCGCGACCCTAGAGCGGACCCTAGAGCGCGGACCCTAGAGACCCTAGAGCGCGACCCTAAGAGCGCGGACCCTAGAGCGGAGAGCGCGGACCCTAAGAGCGGAAAGAGCGCGGACCCTAAGAGCGCGGACCCTAGAGCGCGGACCCTAAGCTAGAGGAGCGGACCCTAAGAGCGCGGACCTAAGACGCTAGAGCGGACCCTAAGAGCGCGGACCCTAAGAGCGCGGAGAGCGGACCCTAAGAGCGCGGACCTAAGAGCGCGGACCTAGACGACGGACCCTAGAGCGCAGACCCTAAGAGCGCGGACCCAGGAGTTTGGTCACTAGAACGTGTACACAGGAGTTTGGACGACACTAGAACTTGGACACTAGAACGTAGATACTAGAACATGGACACAGGAGCTCGGACACTAGAACTTGGACACGTAGAGCTCAGGTACTAAGAGCGCGGACCCAGGAGTCTGGACACTGACCTTGTCGATGCAGGGCTTGACCCCGACCATGATGGCGTCTCCGAACACTTTCCCGTCTTTGGACAGGGCCTTTCGCGCCTGCAGCTTCGACTGATACTGCAGGTGCATCCAGTTACCGGGAGTCGCCATCTGAACACAAACACACACACATACACACATATACACACAGACAAGACACACACATATACACACAGACAAGACACACACATATACACACACAGACAAATCAGATCGTAAATCAAAGCTTAAACAAGTATCAATACAAAAAGAAAAAAGTGACCTTTCCTCAACAGTTTTACAATGATGAAAGAACAAAAATGTGGCTGTTTGCTGCAGGTTTTCCAATCAGTAGGAGCAAATAGAGGCGCTCTTGGAAAAAAGGATAAAAACTCAAAACACAACAGATTCCAGGCACTAAAAAACAGTAGAAAAAATGTACACATCGCACGCGCTTAACAGCCCTGATGAAGACCAGTTAAGACCAGTTGGTGTCCGCGCTCTAGGGTCCGCGCTCCAATGTCCGCGCTCCAATGTCCGCGCTCTCCGCGCTCTAGGGTCCGCGCGCTCTAGGGCTCTAATGTCCGCGCTCCAATGTCCGCGCTCCAATGTCCGCGCTCTAGGGTCCGCGCGCTCTAGGGCTCTAATGTCCGCGCTCTAATGTCCGCGCTCTAGGGTCCGCGCTCGTCGGGTCCGCGCTCCAGGCGTCCGCGCTCTAGGGTCCGCGCTCTAGGTCCGCGCTCCAATGTCCGCGCCAATGTCCGCGCGCTCTATGTCCGCGCTCCGGGTCCGCGCCAATGTCCGCGCTCTAATGTCCGCGCGCTCTCGGGTCCGCGCTCTCGGGTCCGCGCGCTCTCGGGTCCGCGCTCTAAGTATCCGAGCTCCTGTGTTCAAGCTTTTAGTGTCCGAGCTCTTAGTACCTGAGCTGTAGGTGTCCAAGTTCTAGCGCCGTCCACGTTCTAGTGTCCAAACCAGTTAAGGTCGAAACATGTCGGCTTTGGCCATTCTAATAAAGGCCTTTTAATTATATTTTTCCTCGTGCGATGTGTTCAGTGTTTCTACTGTTTTGGAGTTGCCTGGAATCTGTTGTGTTTTGAGTTTTACAATGATTCTGAGCTTCACTCACACGAGTATAAGAGCCAATAGTAAAGAATTCTGTTATTTTGTGATCAAACCAGGACCGTCAAAAGAATCACAAATCTGAGACTAATCGATACCGAAACTAATATCGAGCCTCATTTTTCGCAGGTATCGATACTAAAGCAGAACAGAGCAGAACCTTTCCCGAAGAGCTTCATATCGCGCTCCGTGAACATAAACCACAGAACTCTAATTAAATCTGAAGATGAACCCAAGATGTGTCGTGTTGTTTTCAGGCTCCGTGTTCATCGGCTCATTGGCCCCAAAATAATTTTCTCTTCCGCATTTACTTCCTGAATCCGGGCAAGCTCCTCCCACCCGTGTGACGTGCACGCCGTGGAGCGTCTGGACCAATCAGAGCGAGAGCTGATAGAGCGGCTCAGAGCGGCGAGGCTCAGTCTGACAAATCATCAGCTTTTAGACGCTTTGAGGATTTAAAAATGTTGAAATTTTAAGTTGTTAAAAAAAAAGAAGAAAAGAATCCTACAAAATGTGACCTTTGTGCCCTGTCAGAACACGGGCAGTTTGAATTACCAAAATTCAGTCCCGGGGAAAGACTCGGGACACGGTGGAGGGACTGTGTCTCTGGGCTGACCTGGGAACGTCTTGGGTTCTCCCTGTAAGAGCTGGAGGAAGTGTCTGGGGTGAATGAAGTCTGGGAGTCCCTGCTTCGACCCCGCTCACCTCAGTTTGTCTTCGCTCCTTTTCTCCTCCTCTTCTTCTTTCAGTTCAAAAACGGACTTTCTTTTGCGGCGAACTGGTCGTGGATTCTCTTCCGCCATCGCAACAAACTTTATGCGAAATGCGAGGAAACTACAGTTGGAAAAAGCCTCTAAGAACCGCTGCATAAACCACATAATCCCCGCGCGCCGACGAGTCAGTTACACTAGGGAGTTTGATTGACGACCTAACAGCCAATAGAAAATGAGGCAGCCTCGTTTTCTATTGGCTGATGTTTATCTGTCCTCACTACGTCCACAGTTGATAGATTTTCATTCTTTTTTTTTTTTTGGTCATCATAATTACAAAGCTGCTGCGTCTCTGTAATGGTATTTTAAACTTTCATTGACAATTTGAAACAAAAAAAATCCTCCATACAACCTTTAAAATCTCGTCTTGTTCTCGTTCTCGTGGACCCAATCTTGTTTCTCGTCTGATGGAAATTTTATCTCGTCCCGTCCCTACAACTTTAGTATTGATACCTGCTCAAATCTAGTTTCGATTCTTGTTTTTGTATCCGTTGGTGTTTGTTTTTTAATATTTTTACAAACCCCAGTGGAGCCGTGACCGTAAGGTGAGAACTGACCGAGTGTCTGAGGATGTTTCCGTACTGAGCGAACTGCAGCAGGATGTAAGAGGCCGAGGCCGGAGGAAACCTGAAGAGAGACGCACGAGTCAGACGTATGCATACATTTCCAAAAATAGCTGTATCATTTTAAAACCATAACCGTATCGACGCACTCTTGTTTTATTACAGTAATAATAATGTGAGAAAACACAAGTACAAACCCGAACACTGTGACCCAGGTCTGGTCCAGTTGGTCCTCAGAACTCAGTGTCTCCCCCTGACTGTAGAACGGGTCCACCTGAGCAGGAGACAAACACAACTGCTGCCCTACAACACACACACACACACAATTACACACATATACACAACACACACACAATAACACAATTACACACATATACACAACACATATACACAACACACACACACACACACACACAATTACACACACACAATAACACAATTACACACACACACACAATTACACACACACACAATAACACAATTACACACATATACACAACACACACACAA